TGAGGACTAGTTTCAAATTAACACTTAAGATAAGGCAACTTATGAACATCTGTAGGCATTCTGTGATTTGAACTCATATCCACATTTATGTTCGATAGTACTTGAATGATCATTTAGAAGTGTAAGGACATTTTTTACTACTTCATTGGAATAGCACTAAAATCAACTACCTACATGTTGTTAAACGGCATATCTCAAAAAATTGCTAGTTTTTTGACGAACAATCATTTAGGGCAATTCGGGCGAGGAACGTATCACAGTTACTGGAAAGAAAGCGAATGTTGAAAAGGCTATTGATCAGTTGAACAAAATTCAGAACGAACTGGTAATATCACATTATCTTCCTCTGGTTTCTGAATTATCGAATAATTTTTTAACAGGCCAGCATTATTGTCATTGAAGTCGATATACCTGTAAAGGTACAGGCTCGACTTCTTGGCAATGGGCGCCGTCTTATCTCTGACATTGAAGAGGAATGCGGAGGTGTACACATCAGATTCCCTGCTGAGAAGAGCGAAAGCACTAAGGTAGCTTGTATCTTGCGAGTGAGAAATGCCTGTACAATAACTTTTGCAGGTTACGATACGTGGACCAAAGCCAGATGCAGAAAGGGCACAAAAGTTACTTGTTGATCTCGCTAAAGACAAAGAAGTCAATCTCCACGAAGACACTGTAGTAGCGAAGCCTGAATTCCATAGATTCCTCATTGGAAAGGGGGGCACAAAAATCAATAAGGTTTGTTGCTACGGACTTTTTCTTTTTGACATTATTCATTTACGTATTCATACTTATGCTAATTTCATCACAGCCTTTCAAATGTTCTTAAGAGTGGTTCTGTTGATATTCCAAAGTTTATGGGAAAGTTGTGCATTATCTTAGATTAGGACTGTAAAATCGTATATTCCTCATCTCTTTTTCCCAAATAATACATCTCTTAGTAGTTCCGATTACGTAAAAATCAGCTACATTTGCTTAGATGCGTGAAAACTATGACGTTCGTGTGATGTTCCCAAGAGAGACTGACACTGATAAGGAAACTATCCATCTTCTTGGTAAGAAAGATGATGTCCTTAAAGTGAAGAAGGAGCTTGAAGAGAACATAAAGCAGCTTAGTGAAACAGTGGAAAGCACGGTATGTTATTCTTATATGTTCTGGTGCAAAAACCTATTTAAACTATCTCAATTCAGATTGAGGTTGATACCAAGCACCACCGACACTTTGTCATGCGAGGAGCCGCTGTGCTTCGTGAGATTCAGGAGCAGAACGGCGGTGTAGTTATCTCTTTTCCCAAGGTTTGTAATGTATGTTCTCGTTGTTTCTCTTATCTCAAGCATTGCGTATTTTTTATAGATGGGAAGTGACTCAACTACAGTTCACATCAAAGGTTCTAAACAATGCGTTGAGTCAGCAAAGGCCAGAATTGAAGAGATAGTTGAGGACATTGTACGTTGCTTTGAATC